TCCTCATCAGCTTTTTGCATAATGGTTTTAGTTACTGCGGTTGATGATTGCCTAGATCCATTATTTCATTAGGGAAGAGGATGCATTTAATTCTAGATGAAATTATTTAGAATGGTACATATGTAGCTGGTTTTTGAAGGTAAAGTTTTAGACGAGTATACTCGTCGACGACTGAAAAAAGAACATTTTGTGAAAACGTGTATACACGTTTCTGCCGGGGAAGGGGTTAATACAACCGAAAGTTGGCTCTGTCCTTCGGAATAGTTTTACATTAATGTTATTTGTTAAGTTTGTTAACACAATAATAAATGTGTTTTACTCTCCTTAGTTTATGTCAAGAGAAATAATGTTTAGGAAGAATGCCTTGTAAATCATAAAATCTATATAATATTACTTATTATTAATCAGGGACCTTGTTAGAATACAAAAAAGGAAATTTTTTTTTCAATAAAAATGATAATTTTTTTTTATCTCCACAGACTCTCAAAAGGATTTGGAAAATGACCCTTCAATAAATTCTCAGGCACAGGAGACCACAGTCACGGCAAGTACCACCAAAGACGCTCAGATCCTGAGCCCTGCCTCTGGTCTCAACAAGGACCACCCAGAAGTAGAAACAATAGGTTCCGGAAGTGCAGATACAAGTAATCAATCCGAAAGTCCAGATGAAGCAAGTTATGAGAACTATCCAAAGGACAAAACAGAACTCAAGACCAACCAGAGTTTTCAGGATGGCAAACTAGGGCATCAACTCTCCTCAAAAAGTCTGAGTAAAGAATCCTTGCATCTTGAAAGTGTGGGTGAAGAATCCTTGCATCCTGAAAGTGTGGGTGAAAAGTCCTTGCATCCTGAAAGTGTAGGGGAAAAATCCTTGCATCCTGAAAGTGGGGGTGAAGAATCTTTGCATCCAGAACCCAGCTGTGATCCAAGTGAAGAGGTAGGAAGAGCAGATGCACAATTAGGGAGCAGCTCCGTAGACCTCCCTGAGGAAGCAAGCCACAGACCTGAAGCTTCACAGGAGCCACTTGCCATAGACCCCCAGGGTGTCCGGGGTCCTGATCATTCCAGTGCAGGGCCGGAGAGCCAGGGTACACGGCGGCGGCGACTGGTGGAACCAGGTGAGAGAGCCCACTGACTTCTGTCCTGTTCTGTATTGGTTGTCACTGAGAGCACAGCAGCTCAGGGTCCTTTCCAGAGGACATCTCTTTCCTTGGACCTTGTCCAAGGTCACAGACAGAGCTATGGCTGAGTTGAGATTAGAATGAGGTTTCTTATCTCCTAGACTAGCTCATTCCATTCCATTAAATAAACTGCATTTTTAAACAATGTTTTCACTTATTTACTGTTTTTGTTAATACAGTCTGATGGAAGAAAAGGGGGCATGACCTTGTATGAATTCACCTCTGGCTTTTCTTTATTTCTCATGAGCATGCTTTCACGTACAGTTTTTTTTTTTTTTACAGAGAGGAAGGGAGAGAGATAGCCAGAAACATCAATGAGAGAGAAACATTGATCAGCCGCCTCCTGCACGCCCCCCACAGGGGATGTGCCTGCAACCAAGGTCCATGCCCTTGACCAGAATCGAACCCGGGACCCTTGAGTCCGCAGGCCGACACTATCCACTGAGCCAAACCGGTTCTGGCTTCACGTACAGTTTTTTAAATATTTTATTTTTGGGGAAACTAAATGCTACAAAAATCAAGAGATGAGAAATTAAAAAACCAACACCAATGATACAAGTACCCTTAAAATGCAGTCATTTCAGTTTTATAGGACTTTGAGCAAATCAGTTAATTTCTCTATATCTGACACCCCCCCCCACCCCATTTGTATATTAAGGAGAACAAGTGTCATATATTCTCTTAATAAGATGTGCTTACAATGTGTAAGTCCTTCCTGGAACTCGAGGGCCATGGATTCCAGTTGTGGCCCTCCCACTGGGTGACCTGGGGCAAGTCTCTTACCTTCCTGGTACTTCAGTTTCCTGTTTGTAGGATGAAGGAGTTGGACGAGCAGATCTCCAGCTGGCCTGTTCCAGCTCTCACCTTCTGTGACTGCATGTGTGGATTTGTATTTTATAAGCACTCTGAAGAGCTCAGTCTGAATGGCTGTTTATCAGTGGAAAGGAATATAAAATGCAAAATACTCTGTTTGTCAGAGACCTGACTAAAGGCTAGAAATTCATGTTGCCCTCTCAATCAATTACTGATCTCAAATACTATATGTTTCATTCATTCATTAACCATTAGAAGAATCTGTAACTTCAGTGAAGGCAGGAACTGCATCTCTCTCATTAATTGTGTTTCTGTGACACCTGGCACAGAGAAGCAACTTAGGAATATTTGTTAACTGAAGAAATGAATGAGAGTTGTATGGACCATTATCTGCCATCAGAATGTCACCAGTATGCAGAAACATTCTTTTAAAATGTAGTTTATTTGTGAGAAACAACTTAATATAATGGAATGAGCTAATCTAGGAGATGAGAAACCTTGTTCTAAGCTCAGTCTCATTATGTGACTTTGGGCAAAGCCCTTAACATCCTTGCATCTTTTGCCATAATAGGTTAAGGTTGGGGGCTGGAGTAAGTGATCATTAAAGATCCTTCGGTCCTTCAATTCTGTGATATATTTTAAACATCTATTTTTTTGGTGTGGTATGACTACATGAACTGTCTTTTGCAGGTGAAGGTGATTCTACTATTTTATGTTATTACAGTATGACACTTGAGTTGTTTTTCCAGTAAGGGTTGTGGGCAATACTCAACTTTCACTGTTGCATGAAGTACCTGGCTGGAGTCCAGCACACATCCACACTCTAGCATGACTTAGCTTAGAGTGCTGCAAAATACTGCCCTCCGTTTACCCACACATTTTAAGATTGGAGTCTCACCCCACAACTGCATTTTTATATAGTCAATAAATATTCTTAAACTTGTATTCCTGCTTTTTAAACATCCCTCCTTCACTAAGAGTTTCAGGCTTGCTTTTGTAAGCTGTTTTGCAACTACAGTAACCTCTCCTGACTCTAAACTTAGTGCCTCTGTTATTTGTATACTTGGGGGCCCTGAGGAGCCATGTGAGACTCGAACACTGGAATTCCAACATCACTGTCCTGAGATGTTGAGTCTTGTGTACAGCTGACATCACTTAAATTACTTCTTAATTTTGTATGTTTTTGGTTGAGTCACAGACAGGTTTGCCTGCAATATTAGGATACTGGCTGCTTTTGTCTTTGATGTAAGGGCCAGTGAGGAATTGTGAATGTAGCAACAGTATCCGTCGATGAATTTCATGATACTACATTTTATTCTGCTAAGTAGAATAAAAATAATAGTGAACCTTAAGAAAAAGGCAGGGGGAAAAAAGCCTTAAATAACGGAAAATTTTACAAAGTATAGAAATCGGCTCAGTCAAATAATTCTTTAGTTTGGTTAGAGGTGTAAAAGTATACACACTCTCATTAGTGTATTGCCTAGAAATAATGTTCTTTTTTTCCCCCCAGAAGCTGAAAGTCATCAACAGGAGATACAAACATTAGAAGAAAATAAAGAGGATGCACAGGATGCCATAAGAAAGAGTAATAAAAAGGATTTTTGGAGCTATGGTGAGAACAAAGCTGGTACAGTGCCGATTCACATTCAGAAATCCTCAGAGAGAAGACCTAGAAAATGTGCAGGTTTAAACAGTGTAATCGCGTGTTAAAAAGTGTTTGATAGTAGGTAACAGGAAAATAGAGCAGTGGAGTTTTAGGGTTTCTCCTTCGGGGGTGTTTGCTGGCTGCTAGTTTGCCACCCTTAACAAATGGGAATTACCACAGGAGGAAAGACATTTCATAAACAAGAAATTACAGCTGCCTTTTCAGTTAGAGACTATTAACCTCGCAAGTGGCATTTTTACATTTTGACCCTTAAAATTAAAAGGCATGTTACAGGTGATAGGTATTTTGAGAAGGTAGACTAACCTAATAGTTCATTTCTATAACACATCTTTATATTATATTGTAGCAACGTATTATAGCAACAAATACAAAAACTTAGCTTTTACCTTCTAACAAAGATATTGCATCTTCAAATAACTAAGTCAAAGAAATCAGAAAAAAGAGTGTATCTGGGAGATTTTAAGAGTAGAAAGTTTAAAGGATTTTGGCAAAAGAAACTCACCACAACCCGTAAAAATCTAACAGTATCTCTGCCTCATCTCAGTTTACCAGGGGTTTTATTTCTGACTCACGCTCTCTCCTTTTGTTGTTTATCTTTTTCATTCTCTGACAGGCTCCATCTTTCTTGTCTTCGTGGTGGCTCTTGTTTTGCTAAGCTCCGCCCAAAGCTACTATTCCTCTCCAGCACAGCAGGTGCCCCCAAACCCAGCGCTGGAAGCCTTCCTGGCCCAGTTCAGCCAGCTGCAGGACACGTTTCCGGGCCAGAGCGCTTTTCTGTGGCAGAGAGGACGCAAGTTCCTCCAGAAGCACCTCAACGCTTCACACCCCACCGAGCCGGCCACCATCATCTTCACCGCAGCTCGAGAGGGAAGAGAGACCCTGCGGTGCCTCAGCCATCGCGTGGCGGACGCCTACACCTCCTCCCAGAAAGTCTCTGCCATTCAGATCGACGGGGCGGGAAGAGCCCTGCAGGACAGTGACACCGTCAAGCTACTGGTGGACATGGAACTGAGCTCCGGGTTCGAGGATGGCAGGAAGGCCGCCGTGGTACACCGCTTCGAGTCCCTCCCTGCAGGCTCCACCTTGATCTTCTACAAGTACTGCGACCACGAGAACGCGGCCTTCAAGGACGTGGCCCTCGTCCTGACCGTCCTCCTGGAGGAGGACACGCTGGCCGCCAGTGTGGGCCCCAGGGAAACGGAAGAGAAAGTGCGGGATTTGCTCTGGGCCCGGTTTACCAACGCGAACACTCCCAGCTCCTTCAACCGCATGGACTCGGACAAGCTGAGCGGGCTGTGGAGCCGCATCTCGCACCTGGTGCTGCCCGTCCAGCCCGTGCGGGCCATCGAGGAGCAGGGCTGCCGGCTCTGAGCCAGGCGGGCAGGCGGTGGAAGTGAGGGGTTTATTAAAGGCCTTCCCTGCCTGTGGAAGGAATGTGAGGAAATCGCCTGAAAAGTACAAGTGGGCTTATTTTAGGAAAAAATCGTTGATTTTTTACTTTTGGTAAAATTTTTCTAATCTAAGCTTGACAAAGCTAAAAGCTGACCTGAATTTTTTTTTCTTTGCTTTTCAAGCAAATCAGGTTTGAAATAGATAACAGATAGGGTATATATATATATAACAGGATTTTTTTTTAAATCTAAAAATATAGTAGCAGAATTATTGCACAGGAAAATAATTTTCTCAGAGTAACTACAGAGTGATTTTTGTTTTCTTGAGACTCTAAAAACCCTTTAGAATCGTGTTTGGACTAAAGCAATTACAGTTATGAAGCAAGGATAATTTAAACAAATTTCTATCATGTTAAAGATTTAAAAAACTTACTTTAATAGCTTTATTGTGGAATTACATTTTACAGTAATTTGCACTGTTGAATAGTATGGAAAAAGGAAATTTTATTCAAATATCTAATTACTATATGTAAGGCACTGTGTTTTTTTTTCTGTTAGTAAGCTGAGGTAAAAGCAGTTATACTCAAGAAATAGTCTTAAAAATTGGAAACAATGGGGAATTGGTTATAATCATTGGGAATGGAGAAATTCTAATTGGCTGTATCGTTACTTCAGCTTTTAAAAAGTATTTAGAGCAATGATTTTACGCTGTGTTTACTCAC